CCTCCTCCTCGACCTGTCATCCTTGCAAACCTGGCTTGCAAACCTGTTGTCCGCGACCAAGCCGGAATGGCCAGGATCGTCGTAGCAAACGTGCCGCCGAAAGCGGACAAACCAACCCACCTCAACCCAATACAACTCCCGCCTCGCCACCAACAGTCCACGAGGATCGAGGCTGAAAGGCAGCGGCAACCTCTTAAGGCCAACAACGACCGAAGACGCGAGCCTCCCAGCGCAGCTCCAAAGACCCAAGACCACCTCCCTCCCGTCAACAACTCACCACGTCGAGGAGCGCTGCAAGGACCAGGGCCTGCATCTGCCTGCTCACTCGGCTGCTCTCAGGGACCGGGTTTGTTTCATCATTCCCCCTGGGTCCAGTTAGGTTTGTCGACTTGCAGACGCGAGCGAGGATGTTCGAGGCATCGGCCGACCACTCCAGAACGTAGAAAGAAGGCAGCAACTCGAGCGTGCGGCCCAGCGCTTGGACCTCCTCCTCCTCTTCCTCCTCCTCCGCCACTCCCCTGATCACCGCCTCGGACGTGCCATGCACAAAGAAGACGGGAGGACCGTCGGCCAGTGCCGTCTGTCCGCTGCGTGGGAGGCCGATCGCCAGGATCACGCGCGAAGCAAATTCTCGCGAAGGGCCAAGCGGCCAGGGCTACTACTCTCAGTTTGAAGGGAGTTGGGAGGCCCAACCAGATGCTTCGCCCAAGGCGAAGCCCATATCCAACTCTGTTATGCCGTAGTCACGATAGTCCCAAGAGCAGGAGAGAGTCGCGGGAGCGACGAGCCATGTCAAGGGAAGATGTGTCCGGCCTCAGTGGCAAACCGTGTGCCTCGCGATGAGGCGCAGTCATGTGTTGGCGGCCGGCCGCTCGAGCCCAAACGTCCGCGGGCAAACGCTCGCTGCCTCTGGCCTTGGCCCACCCTCCTTCAGAGTCTCTCCCTTGCTCCGCACACCCCATCGGACACGCCCGGTAAGACTGAAGGGGCCCTGGGACACATACATAAATACACACAAAAACCAGGATCACCCATCTTTTCCCATATTTCCCGGGCTTGTGTCTTCCCCCCCACTTCCCATGTTTTCCCAAATTTCCTGGGAGTCGACGATTCATTGTGTCTGTATGTTTTTTCCCTCCTGAAAGACAGACGGCGGGGGCCCCTCGCTCACCCGCTGCCTCGGGCGAGGGAGGCGGCCGGGACCTGGCCAAGCACGGCGGGAGCCCTCCGCGAGCGCGCTCCGCGAGGGAGCCGAAGGCACACGGGCAGCACAGGCAGCGGGAGGAACCCAGCGTACAAAGAGGATCCTCCGCTCCTGCCTACCCATTCCTCGGCCGCGCCTCGACGTACTTGAGGACGTCGGGCGGCGGGTGGGGCCGCGGTGGGTGCGGGGGCGCACCAGTCATCAGCTGGTCGGCACAAGCAGTGGGAGGAGGGGGGAGGCCGACACTGCTGATCCATCCCCCTGCTGGACAGCCCGCAGGCCAACGCCCAGAGCAGGCCACGTGGAGCCGCCGGGCCCAGCACCGCTCCACGCAACAATGCGTGCAGCATCGGGCCGAGGGAAAGAGACAAGTGCCCACTCCAGGGGCTGACACTGGAGTGGCTAGTGGTCGGCTTCGTCAGTAACCAAGACGACGTGCACCTCGCAAACGATAGACGCACGCGCGGGGGGGCCAGGCACGAGCGCAAAACTGCACGGAGCTGAGGGCGCCCAGCCCGCACCACAAGCGAATCTCCGACGCACCCCCTCCTTCTCCTCCACTCGAAATGCAAGAAATATGGTGGGATGGTGGCACAGAGGTGGTCGAGCGCAGCTGCGAGGGGGATCCTACAGGGCCTGTCCTCCTACAGGGGGATCTTGGCCGACAAATTAATTTTGATATGCCCCAAACATAATCAAAAATAGTCAAAAAATCGTCCCCTGACTATTTTGTGTTAACTTTTTGGGGGGACAGGCCCGAGTTAAAGCTGGGTCACAGCCGAAATGCGGCAAACGGGTTGCCAGACTGTACCCTCGCCCGCGCCAGCCCCCGCGAGAGGCTTCCCGGGACCCAGGCCGGATGGCTCGGTCAGGCTCCGCGTGGACACAGAGGCAAGAAGGACACGAGATGCCCAAGGTGAAGAGAGTGGGCCAGCGGGGCCGCGAGGGTGGCGACTGCAGCACCGCGGCGCCTGAACCGAGAACCCATCCAGGGTCGATCAGCAAGCCAAGGGTCAGCAGGGCGGCGCCACAACAGCTTCGAGTCCGCAATCAGACGAGCATTCGCTGGAGCGGATCTCGTGAACGTAGGGCTCCACCTCCATTTGCGTTGCCCTGCCGTTCTGGACTTCCTCGCTCATCTTCACAATGAGCACGTCGAAGACATAGGCAGCAGCCACGAGCAGCCTTGCGAGTTCTACCCCGCGACAAGCAGGAACTTTTGTGAATGGCAGCGGGCGCCCCGCACGCAACGCCGGAGGTACCCATTCCCTCCAGGATTGCCAGCAGGTCGGGAAC